TTGTGCATGTGAGATGTGTTGTTCATTGGTTAATATGAGATCTGGGGCCTGGATTCCTCTTGTGTTCTTGGGACGGATCGAGATTTCTTTGTTTCTTTTGCTTCTTGGTGATTCCTCTTGTGTTCTTGGGACGGATCGAGTTCTTGCTTGGGGTGTTTCGGTGGCGGAAAGAAGGAAATAGGTGCGGCGGGAGAGGATTTTGGAGGGCAAATCGAAGATTTCACCAGGAGGTATGGGCGCGAGGTCACGGGAGAGCGAGGCGACGCTGCCCACAGCGCGCGTGCCCGTGACTTTCGGCAACGCGCGCTCCCTCGCTTGGACCAGGTTCCACGCGGCTCTGCTTCGGGGCGAGGAGCTCAGCTAGGGCGCGCATCTGTCGGGTCCCAAAACTAATGATTCGGAAACCGACATGTTTAACTGTATCAAGCCCTGGATCAGTAGGTTGATACAACTTCAATAATCTGGATCGTCTTTGCATATGTTTAGACATAGCTTTGAAGGATATATAAAGTAATATGGTATTTACGAGATTGTGGCTAACTATTACAGCAGAAGCTTTAGAATGACCCAACTTTGCTGTTTTACTATAGACTTAAACCATCTAAATAACTTAGACTTGAAGATTAAGTTAAAAGGGAACTAACTTATGTGATTGAACTCCTGACTTCGGCAAGAACATCAAATGGACTCTTAAAAAGGAGGTTGAAGCAAGGGTGAGTACAACGTACTCAGCAAGCTATTATATCAAATAATGAATGCATGAAATAGTATTTAAGTAGATCTAGGTTTACTGGCTGAAAGCTGAGAATAGAGAAAGAAAGCTTGGGATGTCTTTATGCAACAGTATTTAGTAAAATCTTGAATTAAGTTTCTAACCAAATACCATGAGTCCTGATACTCAATCCGTGAGTATGGCTATTCGAATAGATTCATTTTCACTTTACTGCAGTAAATGTACGCTTTACCCGCAGTCCACGACTTGCCAATATTCATTAGCTTAGTCGTAGCCCAGCCTTAGGTTATTAACAATAGTGGCCCCTGTTCCATAAACTCTAGTCCCCATGCGCTCTGAACGTAACGTTATCAGCAGCGAGAGGAGTTCTGGTGTTCCCGAGGTTTTTAGAGAGAACTAGTTGAGAGACCCCACGTCATCTCAACCAGGTTTCCATAAAATCACACACACAGCGATCGTAATATAATCAAGATATTTATCTGCGCCTCGGTAAATATCACATTTGCCCTTCGCGGCATAAGTTTGCCTCCTTCGCGAGGACTTAGATAAGAACCACTGTACAGAGATACCACATTGTTAATTAACCTAATAACTAGGTCTATCCCCATTCTAGAAGCTGCGGTCGTACTCGTTCGTTTGACATAAGTATTCGGTGGCAATTATATCGATCGAGACAGTACTAGCCACCCGGAAATCAACCAAATCTTACGTACTGTCCCAATCGAAGTTCATTAAATTTTATGCATATTCTAACTAAGCATGGCTAAGCAAAATCTAGCATATATCTGGTTTGCTATATGTTCAGGTTATGCATTCAAAATCATGAATGGCTAATGCATAGAATAAAGCTATAGAGTATAGGATAATTATACTCAAAGGAGAGGAATAATAACTTGCCTTGCTCCAACGCAAATAAATCCAAGATAGGCAACCTGATTATCCGATGCTCGAAATACCACAGGTTGCCATCCAGAATAAAATAGACTCTATTAAAGAAGAGGAATAACCAAATTCAATAAAAGCCATAAAATAGCAAGAAAATGATGAAAGGCGAGAAAAGCTAGGTTTGGGGTATAACTATCTCTTTAATGGGTTATTGAGATAGTATTTTATGCGTAGGCTCTAGTTGGTTGGAGGCTAGGTTGAAGAGGGAATCAAGATTAGGCTTTGGTGGAATAGTGGCTAGGGTTTAGTTGTTCTCGAGTCGATGCTGAAATAGGATAGCATATCGGCTCGTATTTCATGTTTAAGCTATGGGTAGTTGGAGGATAAATGGCTGGTATGGAGTTTGAATAGCAGGCTGGATGGCTAGGGTTTCATTTGATTAAGCCGATATCGAGGTAGGATAAACATCGGCAAGGGTTTTGGGTATTTGCTAGTCGTCATTAGAATTGGGTAGTATGACGACTAAGTTTGGTATCTTCTCTAGCCGATATCGTTGGACAATATATCAGCTAGAGAAATAGGAGGTGGGTGCAGGTTTAGTGGGGCGGAAGTGTTACTCCGGCAACCGTGGGTAGCGACGGAGCGGCTAGGATTACACAGAGCTTAAAAGCTAACTGTGTGGTGTACAGTTGAGGTCGACTGAATAGTGAAGCTCTGAACGTTATACGCATTGAGGCGTAAGGTGTTAGGAGCAACACTTCGACTTTAGATTTGGGTTTTGTCTGACTTTACAACCAACGGTTCGACATCGGGGGGTCAGTAGACCGTACGAACGTCCCCATGGAAGGTGTAAAGTTTCAAACGGTGGTTGTTTAGTGGCAAAGGGTAATTTGAGCTAAAAGAAGATATTTGAAAAGGTAAATATAAATTCAAACGGTATCAAATAAAATGATCAAATAGCAAATTTGATATCAAAATATAGCTTTTGAATTAAGATGAATTTAGGTCCAAATTTCACCGGAATCGGATCTACGGTTTAGGAGATATGTGCTTCTAAAGGATAGGATTTGAATTAACTAAGAAAAATATGAAAGGCTACTGTTGATGGGCCCACCTGTCAGGGAGATTCTTTTCTTTTCTTTTTCTCTTCTTCCTCCCGTCTTCTTCTTCCTTCTCTTCTTCTTCCCGTGCAACAGCAGAGAGAAAGAGAGAAGGGGCGCCGGTGCTCCGATGGTGGAACGGCCTCGACGGCGGCGGCCAAGTGTGTTACCGGACAACGCGCACCCGGGGAAGTGGTCGCCCAGCGAAGGAGTTAGGAGAGGAGGCCGGAACGGCAAGTAGAAGAGCTTCTCTTCGGCTGCAAAGGAGGTGGTTATGGTGGCTTGATGGAGTGGATAGGAAAGAGGGGAAAGGGGAAAAATGGAATCATCTCGTCGAGGCGAACACGATGGCGCGAGGGTTTGGCTTGCGAAGCTCTGGTGAGGGAGATCGAGCGGTGGCACTAATGGCCGGACATGGCAAAAGAGAGAGAAAGAGAGCTCGAGTTGTATGTAGAGAAGGGGGGAAATGGCCGGCTATTTATAGGGGTGAAAGGCAGTTCGGAGGAGAAGGATGAATGGGTCACGGCGCCGATGGAGTGGAGGAGAAGGAGACGGCGCCGGCTTCGTTTCCTTAGCGGCGACGGAAGGGAGTTTGCGGCGGCGTGCGCGTGCACGGCACGCGCGCTTGCGGGAGGAGGAGGGGCGGCTCAGCTATGGGCCGACTTGGGCCGCGCGAGAGAGAAGAAGAATTCGGCCCAAAGTTAAAAAGGAGGAAGTCTAATTTTCCTAGAGATTCAAATAATAGATTTCGAGGAATTTGGATGGCTAGATTTTGAAAAAGGATTTGAATAATTTGAATTTGAAGGAAAATTGACTGAGAGAGAGTTTAGAAGGAAATTATATTTGAATATAATTTCCAAAAGAAATATTTCTCTAGTTGGTTTGAGTGCAATGTTTTGGACAGGGAGTTTATTTAATGCACTCAAATAGAAATTCAAAATATTCAACACCATAAATAATATGGCTCTAGATTTGAATATTTTTGAGTATGTGGAGGGAATATGGTGGGAGTAGAGTAAATAAAATTTTAGCCCAAAATATGTGGTATGAAATTTAGAGAATTAGATATGGGCTAAATGAGGTTCTGGATTTTGGACGGAGGGATAAAGTCTATTCTCTTAGCACAAGAGCAATTATTCATAATATTTTTAATAATATTATTCGTGTGCCGAAGAGGAAATCAAGCCACAGAGATAAAATTGGTGGTTAGATCAAAAGGAGGAATTTAGATAGAATCAAAGGATGGGTTTAAGATCAAAGGATGGGCTAACAATTAATTCCAATAAAATTGGAATTACTTTGGTTTAGGTTCTAGGACAATATGGGAAGGTTTCTTGGACCATAATTCATAATAGTAAAAAGGGTTTTTCACACTAAATTTAAATAAAGGAAGTTTTAGACGAAAGAAGGTTTTAGATTAAAACCAAATCAAGGAATATTTCAAGATAAATTTTAAATGAAAATCACAAGGGCTTTTGAATATCAAAGAGGAATTTTATGCAGGTTAGCTTTGGGAGGTCTCGCTAATTATATTTTCCTAGGTTTAGGAAGTTATTAAGAACATAAGACCTGGCATGATGCAAGATAAGAAAATAGCTAATTTTCGGTATGTTACACCATCCATCTGCCATGTGCGCGGAAATCTCAGCTGGCATGGTATAGCACCGGTCCAGTTCACCGCACTGTGAGAGGCCTAAGTGGTCTCGTCTCTATCCTTATCCACGGAGACAGGTCTGGGAGGCCCGCACGGATAGATGCCACGACGATGCAGGCAATCGGATGGCTCCAAAACGCGTCGCGATAGAGCGAAACCGAGAGCGCTCTCGGTTTAGATTTTGTGTAATCAAAAACCTTTTTCACTAGAGGTCGGCGGGGGCAAGGTGAAGGTCGTCCGCAGCAGCAGCAAAGCGACGAGCGCGGTGGTGGCAGAACCAACAAGCGGGTGGCTGGAAGGTGTGTGTGTGAGAGAGAGAGAGGGATCACGGAAGAGAAGAGGGGGGGGGGGAGAGGTGAGGAAGAGAATAGGATGAGGTGGGACGCTCTTGATAAGTGGGGCTCTTGACGAGGGATAAAACCGCCTCCAAAACTGTTCGGGGAGTCGATTTGCAACGGTTTTAGGAGTTGGGGGGACATGTTATGCCCAGTTTTGTGGTTAATGGATGCGATTCAACTAGGGGCATGAGTTGAGGTAAGCAAAATAGACTTATTCCTTATTCCTCTCATCTCATGATTCATGAAACAGAACGAATTTGGGCCCATCTACGGCCCATACATCCAACCTCTCCCTTCCTTCCTCTCCTATATCTATATCGATCGATCGATCTCCACGGTGGCGGCTGGCTGGTCGGCGGACCCCAACGCGAGGGTGACGGCGGCGGCGGCGGAGGAGGAGGACGAGGAAGAGGAGGAGGAGAGGAGGTAGGAGGCTTTTGCTATCTGCTAATTCCTTCCTTCCTTTCTTCCAATCTGATTCAGTCCGATCTATTTCAATTTTATGGACTAGGGTTTGGGACTGAATCCGCGCGTACCATGGCGGAGCAGCAAGAGGACAGCTTTGATCTTCCATTGTTTGTGGAGGAGGAAGATGAAGCAGGAGCGGCGGCGAAGCAGAGGCGGCGGGAGCAGAGCCAGAAGCCCCGGCGGCCTCGGGCGCCGTCGTTTCTGGACACGCCGGAGGTGAAGGAGAGGCGGGCGAGGAGCAGTGCTTTGGCGGCCAAGTATTGGGAGCACGACCCCAAGACAGGAATCAGCTACTACACCCGCGCCTGCTTCCGCGACCTCACCACCTTCGACCTCGACAAGGAGAGTATGTATACACCTCAACAATAGTACCTAATAACACATTACTTCTAAGACTGTGGATGAGGATGAGCATTCTATATTTATTCAAATTCTAGTCTATATTTATTCAAATTCTAGTCTATATTTATTCAAATTCTAGTAAAAGGTACTCCCTATGTGGGCTACTGATCTGTCGCCATCAAATTGTTCGCAGCTCTGAACCATGTAATTGCGAAATCCAATCAAACATGCAGAGTGAATGGCAGGCCAATAATTTTAAGTACAAAACAATGCAACAACAAGCACAGAAACAGTGGCATTCATTAAGTGATAAACATTTTGTTCAACAATCAAAGATTAGACAAATATACCCTTATCATTCAAACCCTATCATGTCTCTGTTTGCTTGGGAGCTGTTGTTAGTGGCATTAAGATTAACTAGATGGAATCCTCACTAACTGGGGAAATTTGATTGTTCCACTCTTCACAGTGGTTCTTAATCGTTTCCAGCTCCTTATATTTCAATTGATCACTTGCCACTCTGCCCACAATGCAGTTGACTATTTGCCACTTCTGGTCTGAAATGGCCATCTATCCCCATTCTTCCTCCCCTTCACCTCACCTCCCATGCAGCAATGGTGACAGTGAGCTTAAACTGCAATGGTGACTGAGAAGAAGGAATTTGATTCGGTGGCACAATTTCACCATTTTCGGCTTCGGTAGTCAGTGGTAGTACCACCACCAGCAGCCATGGACCAATCCACCTGCTCATTTCTAGGGGCCTTCTTTTCACAGTGATTGCGAATAAGCAGTGAATTGTATTTTTCCTTGAGGACCTTGCACTGGAGGGCCTAGACGCTGGTAGTGAGCTCTAGATGCAGGTGCAGAGGCCTGAAATGTTGAGTGCTCGATCCAGGGTGGAGGATGAGGAGGAACATCACGGTGCTGTTGTCTGCCCACGCATGCTACAGCTAGGGACACTATGTCAGGGATGATGGGGAATACTGGGAAGAGATGTTGTAGTTTGCCACAGGTGGATGAGATGAGATGCAAATGATCAATTTTCTTGATTGGAGGGCAGGTCAAAGTCAAACACAGTTAAGCTGTTATATGATGAATTAGAAAGCTCATACTGTTTAGGCTTTGCTAAGATAAGCAGGGATTGGAAAGGATTTAGTTCAGTTTCCTGACCAATATCAGAATTTAACTTGCATGCTGTATGCTATTGAACATATTCTCTCTCTCTCTCTCTCTCTCAGCCCATAGATCTCATTGAGCAAATGGACAGTTATATGGTTGGAATTTGCTCAACAATGGTTGATTAAGATTAGAAATGGCCAAATACTCTCTCAACTACAATAATTTGATTTCTGAAACAGCTAAAATAATTTTCACTACGGTTGATATATATGCAGACGTATGTCCTCTAGAGACTTTTGAACTCTAGAGTCTAGAGACATTATCTAGTGTATACTTCTGTCGACATACTATTCTTCCCTGTTGCAAACTAACTCCATTTTCGTTTTTCTCAGCGCAATATGGTCCAATGCGCTTTACGGATTCAATTATCAACAAGGACCACATGTTGACTAGCTCGTTGAATGTACTTTCTCTGAAGGTAAAATCATCAGATGTTGGTTATCCTATCAATCTATATGGGACTGTGATAGTCAGAGATGGATTAGATTTTAACTGCATCTTCATCTTCCGGCGCAATAGGGACAATTGCCAAGTTATCCAGTCAGAGGTATTGCTAAGTTCTCTTAAACACTACCAATTTTCCCTATTTCACATGATACATTGAACTAATTTCTTTACAGTTCTGTACAGTTAAAGGCATACCAAAGCTAGCTACATTTAAGTTGTCTATATGCATCCACAGTACCCCTAGTTTCATATGAAATACCAGTACTTATTTTTAGTGGGCTTAAATATAACTAGGTAATATTATGAGCCATGTCATTTAAATAATAACATTATATTCTATGGATAATGTCATCACCTATTTATATATATAGCATTAGTGTGACTAGCTAACTTCTTGTGTAATTTTTCTTGTAGAATGAAAATATAATTCTCACGGGCCCAACTAGAGGAATTGTTTTCCATGGTGAAATCTTTTTTGAGATAAATTTGAAGATTAAGGAAAATGAAGAGTGCAATGACAAAGAATTTAGTAAAGGATTGCTTGAGATGAAGGTTTACACTCGTAAGTCTATGATTGTGAGTGAAACCTTGGAGAGTAGGCTCAGTGAGGTGGAGCTTGTATCTGCTTCTGTTAAGGAAGCCTTGGAGGGCACTGTCGAGATCAATATTCTGTCAGGGCCTGAAGTTTTTCATGGAAAAATTACTGCTTGCACAACAGATGTTCCAAATGATATTATACTGTATGATAGTGATGTTGATGATGCAACTACAGTGGGTGATGACAGAGTTATGCAACTGCTGCGACGTGTTGTAGTAGTATCAGTAAATGAGATGTTGATACTGAATATTGACGCCCATAATATTCATCCGAATGATAATTTATCCAGTCGCACTTTGAGGTTCACTCCATTTACTAGAGGGTTGGATGAGGAGGTGATCAGCTGTGGTCTTTACAAGATGCGGGTGAAAGTTGTTTGGTCAACCTTGATGATGGATTAGAATATATAGTTAATTAAATTCTCTACTGGGCATCTTTTTACAGATGAATTAGAATATACTCTATTGGGCCCTTGTTTTACAGAACTTGTAGCTAATGCTAAACTTGGTGGTGTAAATAATCAACCTTTTAAACTAGATATTTTTATCTTAAGAGAAGGATTTTGGTATGAATTTGAATGGAAGTTATGATTTAAATTGGATACTTGGACTTGGTAAATTCGAAGGAACTTGTGGAAAGATTTGAAGCTGATATCTTTTTTTTGAACAAATTTGTATTTTGATCAAGAAAGAATTTTGGAGTGAAATATGTATGATATTTGGATCTTTGAATTCTTAAGGATTGATTAGCACCGAACTTTTCATAGGTAATTTTAGGAGGTTATTTTCTTGATTTTGAATATAAGATTTTGGGAAGGAATATGGTACTATTTGAATATCATTTTGCACAGGTTTTGTTTGGGTAATTTATTCACTTTTAGCCATACTAGTAATGTGTCCTTGCATTGTAATGCCGCTCGCCCTTCCTCCTACACATATGATATGGCTGTGAACCTTTGCCTACAGGCGACGTGTGTGCCCGTTTCTAGTAGTGCAACAGCAAAACAAAGACAAGATAATCTGAAAATTCACAGAAGATGGGAGTCTTCCCAGTGGCCTCGGCAATGTCGCATATGAGATGTTCTTCATCACACACACCAAATGGAACTGTGCTACTCTGCTGTGGGATACAAGAGCCCCCTCTAGAATCAAATTCTTCTTGTGGTTGGCATTGAAAGAAAGATTTTTCACGGTCGATAACTTTCAGACCACAGGATGGCCGCATCAGAGCAACTGCTCCCTATGTGCATCAGAGGATAAGGGGACTACCGGACTAGGAGTGTTTGGGAGGATCTGCTACTGATTTCCAGGATGAGCATAGTTGATTTTTTTTTTCATTCCAATGTCTGATAGTATGTCCTTGGCTAAAACTTTCTTTATGTTCGGTAAATATCAGACTCGTGCATTCAGTTATTACCGAGATTACTTTGTCATGGGAGTTTTCAAGTTGCATCGACTCATTGCAATTGCAGCAAAACAAACTAGAGTTTGTTGTTAGCCTATTACCAATCGGTAGCAATACATTTTTACCTTTGTCATATGATAGGTGATAACCTATTTTCTTTAAAGAAATATTGCATGGAAGGCACTCAGACAGATTATTTTGTTGGGAAAAAAATCGCATTAGCTGCAGCCTATTACTAATGTATTATTGATTGTTTTTGTGTTGCTCTGAGAAAAAAACCAATTCCATATCCATAAGGGACGATGCTCTTGGTATTGGAGCTTTTCTTGCAATCAGCAGACATATGGAAGTTACAAATAAACCAAAGTTAAATTCATAATTTTGTTGAGCAAATGTCCAAGAAAGAAAATCACTTTAGGTTTCTATATTATTACAAGAAATTTCTAAATTTTGAGGCACTGTGAATAATATCAAGTTTTTAGTTATGTGTACGTTGTATTTGTCACCGTAGGAATATTTGAGGGGCAATATATTTGTCAAGCTTAAATATTGAATTTCAATCCATGTGCACTGGCTTCAAGGTAAACATGATTTAAGTTATACAATACAACTCTGTTAATTAGTGTGAAATCACATCACTCATGTTCTTTTGGGATTATTGGGATCAATTGTTTCCAGTGTGCAAGGCCTGCAAGCTATGGTGCTTTAGGGTGCTGAGATATTGCACACCCCATGATAATTTTCCTTCTTTCACACCCCATGTTATTATGCCTGGACTTGCATGAACACTGGAAGGCTGTCGTGTAAGGCCATGTTGGTGCTCTGGATTTTTACAATTTAGTCTTTTTGAAAAACTTATCCTAAAATGATCCTTTTTGGGCGCCAGAGTCGCTGGCGCCGTCGTCCAACGGAATGGTGGTGCTGAGGTGGCAGGGGGAGCGCGCCAATGTGGCTAGCGCCCCCCACATTTTTTCCTCTCCTCTCTAGTGTAGAGGAGAGAGAGAGGTGCAACTTTTTGTTTTTTTTTACTTTTTTATATTTTTTCACACTTATGAGCATAAAAGAACCAACCATAGAAAAAAAACTCAAATGGACGAAACACAATCTTGCACGCGGAATTTAGAGATTCTAATTTTGTCGAACCCAGTAAAGCCAAGGAGAATTGAATGTAACTTTTTTCGTAGATGTCCGTAGATATATTATTTGTCTGATTCCGAGTCCGTATGAGAAAGTTACGCCTGTTTTAAGAAATGACACCCGCATGTAAAAAAACATAAACCCTAACTTTTTTTATAGGATGTAAAAGATATTAAAAAAAAGCTAAGAGTGTTCGAAATCTAATCTACTTTCTTTTGGGGGGACTATAGGAAAAACCAAAACCAAAACAGGGAGAGAACGCCATTTGAGTTTAGTTTTTCTACGGTTGGTTCTTATGTGCTCCTAAGTGTAAAAAGAATATAAAAAATAAAAAAATAAGTTCCACATTTCTCTCTCCTCTATACTAGAGAGGAGAGGGAAAAATAGGGGGGGGGGGGCACTCGCCAGCCACATTGGCGCACTCCCCCGGCCACGGTGGCAGGAGGACGGCGCCAGCGACTCTGGCGTCCTTAAAAAGGACTATTTCTGAGATAAGTTTTTTCAGGGGTCTATTTACGAAATAAGTTTTTCAAAAAGGGCCAAATTGTAAAAAATCCAGTGTTGGTGCTAGCTCGGTCTTTCCATATGTTTTTATTTTTGACAAATACATTTGATAATAAGATGTTTGAAATGATCTACTCGGAAGGGCCAATGGACTGGTGGAAGAAGAGAAGCATCCTTTTCAATTTGCCATATTGTGAGCATTTTTATTTTCATCACAACCTTAACATTATATCTATTATCTTGCAAAACAACATTTTGTGTTGCACTTTCAGGTTGGTCAGAACATGACACTAGTGGAGAAATCATCTTTACTCCCGGTTTATAACCCCTCTATAGTCCCAGTTTTCTAACCGAGATTACGAATCCGGTACTAAAGATCGCTATCTTTAGTCCCGGGTGAAATAACCGGGAGTAAAGATCGATCTTTAGTCCCGGTTGGTGTTACCAACCCTCTCTTTAGTCCCGGTTACTGCTACCAACCGGGACTAAAGAGAGGATAGGGGCAGTCCCGGTTAGTCCATTTTCTTTTTATTTTCTCCCAAATCAAGTGGGATGTATATACCCAGATCAAACAACAAATCTCTAAATCGAGTGTCATGCATATACCTAAATCAAACCCCAAATCCCCAAATCAAAGTAACATCACAAATCATTCACATCACAAATGCAAATCCTAAGTTACTTACACACAAATCAAATACATCACAAATCTTAAAAAAATTACACACAAATCAAATGTATCACAGATCAATTATACATCTTAGATCCATGCAATGAATCACAAATTCTAAAAAAGAAATTATACATCTCTCAATCACAAATTATAAAAAAAATAGAGGAGAACCGGCGCGCTGCTGCCCCGTGCGCAGCCCCGCCACCCGCCGCGCGCTGTGCCTCGCCGTCCGGCCATCGCGTGAGGGCGCGCTAGGCCGCCTCCGCCGCCGCCCGGCCGCCGCGTGAGGGCGCCTCCGCGCCGCCCGGCCGCCGCCGCCTAAGAAGTGGGGAGGAGAGGGGAGGGGGCAGATCCAAAGGAGGTTGAGAAGTGGGGAGGAGAGGGAAGGGGGCAGATCCAGAGGAGGTAGAGGAAGAGATGGGAGGAGGAAGAGGAAGAGATGGGGTGAGTGAGGAGAGGAGGAGATAAAGATCAGAACTTATTAACTGATCCACCCGTGCGCCTCAGTTCTCTCGATCTCGCGTGGCGCATGTCGATCTTTTTTCCCGGTTGATAACACCAACCGGGACTAAAAATAGATCTTTAGTCCCGGTTGGTGTCACCAACCGGGAATAAAGATAAAAGAGGGGTCTGACACCACCTGCCGTCTTTTGAACCGGGACTAAAAATGATCTTTAGTCTCAGTTGATGTTACCAACCGGGACTAAAGAATATCTTTAGTCCCGGTTTTTAGTGGAACTGGGACTATTGTGGATTTCGGCCGACCGACCAAAGATGGTTTCTCCACCAGTGTGACAAATCATTTCGCATATAGCTATTTTCTCTCATCATCAACCTTCAAGTGAAGAATAGATGAATTAAATGGCAGTTGTTATATTTTATGCTAAATAGCAGTGACACATGATACAAGATCCTAAGTTAATTTATTTATTGAACCTACCAGGTGTTACAACAATATATATTGACGTATTTTCATTAAGAACAAAGCAAATATATTATTCATCTATTGTAAATATATTGTTGTCATTCTACTCAGGGAATTTAATTCCGATAAAAAAAATGAGGCTTTGTTTCTTCTCCATTGCAATGATTTATTTCTTGCCAACATGGATTCCATGTGCACTATTGTACCCCGATTACATGCTCTGAAGTGTGGTATTTATTTTTATTTTCAACTTGAATGGAAATTATAACAAAGCTTGATTCCTATCTAAAATGAAAATGTACTGCCTTATTTGTGTATTGAATCCCGTAAAACCAATATTTTGCGGACACATCTCAGTGGTTGTGTAAACTTTATAGAGCGATTTTACAGTACATGAGGTTGAGGAGGTATTAGGAGGTGTCATATATTTTCTAATATAAAATTTGATACCTCTTACTACCTCCAGTACTACTGAGAGGTACCAAATTTACACTAAAAATTTGGGTACCTCTCAAGGGCTCTAAAATTTCTCAACTTTATAACTATATCTCGTACTGTGCTAATTGCCAAAATATATTTTGGACCACTGTCTTTTGGGTGTTTTGCTTGTAATACCGGTTATGGATAAGGCATACCCTCTATCCTACGACTTATGGAATACACCGATAAGGTATACCTTCACGTATACGGTTGGTTTCCGTATACGTCGTTAGGAATTCGCCTCAAATTATGGAAAATATCTCCACGAAGTTAAGGAATTGCAGAAGTCCTACTCGGAAAGGGTAAAATCTCCAGTATATCGTGTCGGTTTACATATCTTCAAGTCTTACTTGAGGGTCAAGGTATCCCACGATATAAAAGGGACCCCTAGGGAGAGTCAAAGGGCATCGCATCTCATCGCCAACACTCCCACCAAAGTTTATGAAGCCGGAGTCCCCGGAGCCAACTCGCTGGGAGATCTCGTCGAATTCCTCGACTACGGTCT